TTTTTTAGTGAAAAATAATAAAATTTTGATAGAAAAAATATGGAAAACAAAAAAAACAAAAAAATGTTCAGGCCCGCTCATGCCTGAGCCCAGGCCTAGGCCCACTTGGTCTGAATTTTGGCAAGAGCCCACGAGACCCGACATGGGTCAAGTCAGGCCAAATTTACACCTCTAGCTATGGACTGATATTCGGCCTCAGTTTAAGATATGGACACAGTGCTTTGTTTCTTAGTAGATCATGATATCAAATTTGAGCCAAGAAAAACACAGAACCCAGAGGTGGACCTTCTATCAGAAGTGTCCCTAGCCTAGTTGGAATTAGAAAATGCTTGCAGTTGAAGGGGACACTTTTGATAGGAGGTTCACCTCTGGATTATGTGTGCTTTCTTGGCTCGAATTTGATATTATGGTCTGCTAAGAAATAAAGCATTGTGTCCAAATCTTCAACTGAGGTCGAATATCAGTCCTTAGCTTACATTGCAGTTGAGTTATGCTGGTTACAACAATTGTTGAAAAATTTGTCTATTCTCACCTTTGCTCCCACTCTCTGGCATGATAATATTTCTGCCATGGCTTTGGCCTCCAATCCCGTGTTTCACTCTCGATCCAAACATATTGAAATCGATTGGAATTTTGTTTGAGAAAGAGTTGTCGCTAAGTTGCTTGATTTGAAATTTGTTCCCATTGAACATCAGGTTGCTGATCTTTTTACTAAACCATTGGCTTCCTCCCATTTTCATTTTCTTAAATCCAAGCTCATGGTGCTTTCTAGCCCATTAGTTTGAGGGGGGATGATGAAAATACTGTAACCCAAGCTAAAATAACAACTCAGAGTATGCTATTGACAAAGCAACTCAAGGCAAAATCCTTGCAACAACCAAAGACTTGTGGCTCATAGCTCAGTGAAGATAAATTCATTTGAGTTGGGATTTTCTCTAATTCAAGCTTGTGGATCCATCAGGTTCCACTTTGATAATATGATGTTCATCTTTTAGACTTTTGGGTGTAGATCATTTGTTGATAATAATAATTCAAAAAAAAAAAAATCAAATATAATAGTTGTAGTTATCATATAACATTACATTTGTATTTACAAAAAATGAATGACAAGTATGTTGGAAATGGTGGAAAAAATTCTGGGTAAAACCAGAATTTTTCCTCAAGTTTGGTCTATTTTTAGGTGGGCCCCGAGTGTCGATTTACTCGGGTCAAAGTGGTAACGCGTTCTATGCCGCGTTGTGATTCACGTGGTATATTTGGTTGCTCAAAACCATTACCGAGTGAATGGGAAATTGAAGCCAAAGTGTGCTCCATGGAAATGGAGTTTTGGTGGAAATTCCTTAAGGTTATAAATTGGCTTGTCCCACATTGATTTGGTGGGAAGTTTTGAAAGGGTTTATAAGGCTTAGGGTGAGATACTTGGGGTGTGCCCCAAGGGGTATCCAAGTGTTTTAGAAGGAGAGGTTATGGGTAAAATGGGCTAGACTCATTGGACCCAAAAATCACCACACACGCGCGCCGCCGCCGTCCGTCCGGCCGGGCGGGCTTGGGCGTGGGTGCGTGGTGTGTGGTTGGGTTGGGCTTCTAATCTTTTTGGGCCAAAAACATTTGAATTTAATTTTATTTTTTATTAAAATAAAATCCAGAATTCAAAATAAATTGGTTTGGATTTATTGTTCATCCAAACAGGGCCATTCCCGTTTTCAAACAGAATTAAACTGTTTTGGATTTATTGCTCATCCAAACAGAGCCCTTCCCGTTTTCAAACAGAATTAAACTGTTTTGGATTTATTGCTCATCCAAACAGAGCCCTTCCCGTTTCTTTCTGTTTGAATCAACAGATTCAAATCTGTTTAAATTTGAATCTAACAGGTTTCATACCTGTTCAATTCAAAACCAAAAGCCACCTTTACATCTATAAATAGACCAAGAGCCACATACCTGTTCAATTCAAAACCAAGAGCCACATACCTGTTCAATTCAAAACCAAGAGCCACATACCTGTTCAATTCAAAACCAAGAGCCACATACCTGTTCAATTCAAAACCAAGAGCCACATACCTGTTCAATTCAAAACCAAGAGCCACATACCTGTTCAATTCAAAACCAAGAGCCACATACCTGTTCAATTCAAAACCAAGAGCCACATACCTGTTCAATTCAAAACCAAGAGCCACATACCTGTTCAATTCAAAACCAAGAGCCACATACCTGTTCAATTCAAAACCAAGAGCCACATACCTGTTCAATTCAAAACCAAGAGCCACATACCTGTTCAATTCAAAACCAAGAGCCACATACCTGTTCAATTCAAAACCAAGAGCCACATACCTGTTCAATTCAAAACCAAGAGCCACATACCTGTTCAATTCAAAACCAAGAGCCACATACCTGTTCAATTCAAAACCAAGAGCCACATACCTGTTCAATTCAAAACCAAGAGCCACATACCTGTTCAATTCAAAACCAAGAGCCACATACCTGTTCAATTCATCGGGAAGTTGGGTTAAGTTCAATGATAGGGATGGCTTCAGCAGGATGCATCTATTGTCTCTCTAAAAGCTCACACTAGATTCTATTTAATTTGCTAAATAGGTAAGAATTCAGTGGAAATGGTTACTTTCATAAAGCTATCTTAGGCAAGAATTCTCTAGATGTTATTATCTCACATAGCTATTTTTATATTTTACAAGAAATGAAAACATGAACTAGAATAAAAGAATAGCAGAATACAGATTGGAGGAAAACAAAAAAAGAATAAAACACAATAGGGACACAAACAATGATACCATAGCTTAACTTGGAATAAAGACAAACATCTACATGAATCTCACTGAGGATGCACTCCCCCCTCTTAGCAAGAAAATAATTGCTGAGCTACTGCTAACATCAGTATTTACATCAGCCAACACAATATAATTGAGTCCAGAACACTGAGATAGAACAGCAATACATTAAAGACAAGCTGCAAGTCATGTAGAGTCCCACTCTTAACAGTAACAATTAACCCTTGGTGTCATAAGGGTCTTTCCAGGTTCAGTTTGAACAATTTAGAATAAATATGAATGAAATCACTGACTATATGATCAACAACAACATGACATGGACTAAGATAATCATGTAAATTGATTGCATACATCTTGAAAATCATACTTCTCAAAATGTCAAAACCCAGGAGAATGACATTGACAGGCTGAGCAGTTTAAACATTCTAATTCTGTCTGCTTCTAACTCAGCTTGTTCTGTTGATGCTTGAGCCTAGCCTGCGATGGGTTCTGCTGGCGTGTGTATCTGTCTGTCAGCTTGGGCTTTTTGCTGGTCCTGTAGGTTCAGGTTCAGATTCTGTCCTGTTGGACTGTCAGGCTCAGTGGTGGACTGATATGACTAGGTGTTGGGGTTTTATTGGTGTGTGCAGATACTATGAGGGTGCCCCTGTAGATTAGGTTCTATTTTGTTAGGCCCTTGTACATTAGGCTTGCTCTGTTGTCAACTGGTAGGCTGCTGGCTCTGTGGGGTTATTGGTTCAGGTTCTAGTTTGTTGATTGGGCTGCCATACTGATATGCTCGGACTGCCATACAGATATACAGATATGCTTGGGCTTCCATACATTACTCTACTGCTATTACTTTGTTGCTGTTATTACTCTTCTGCTATTAATTACTGCTATTACTCTTCTGCTATTTATTTGACTTCTGCTGCTTTTTCTTTTGATTGGTTTCTCACCAATCTTTGGTTTATGGTTGCATATGATTGTGCTCCCTTTGCGGTGCCAACCTAGTTGGGATCGTAGAGGTTAGTTATGATGCTTTTGCATTCCCCCATCTTTGTTGATGTAATTATCGCATGTATTGTGCCTTTTGTCATCAATAAAACTTTTGTTTTGCCGATCAAAAATATGATCTTCCATTTCAGAAAATCTGTTTTCCATCCTGTGGCAAGAGTTATTCAAGAAATACAATTACCAATTTTTAATGTAAAAATTATTCAAAAGTAGAGAAACAATAGACGCTAAAGGAAAATACTACTTTTATGTCATCCCCCATCCACCCAGGAATGCTCCTTGACAAAAGGGTTATATATTGCTCCGTAGCCACCTGTCCCCAAGCTGTTGCCAAGCATTCCTAAGACAATATAACCAATTTGCCTCATTAATTACACAAAGAAGCTACAAATCTTATTATCAAAACTAATAGCTAATTACACACCAGAATATAATTAAAGAATAAGGATGAGCACTAATGTAGTGTACAAGTAAAGTCTATTTGCTTTATACCTACCTTAACTTATGTTATGATTTTCGTAATTGGGAGAGGTTAGTATGAGAAAAGGCAAGTGAACAGGATGAACCCTAACAAAGTGTTGTGTATATATGTTGCAATGTTGTGAATTGTGCAGAGGGTTTAGAACCACTTCCATGGGAGACAAGGCTTAGGGGTTGTTTGGGAAATTCTAGATTAGTATAATTTTTGACTTTTCATGAAAAAATGTGAAATATGGGTTGGGTTTGAAGTGATGTGGTGGAGAGGTGATTTGACTCAAATAAGAAGTGATGTGACTCAAGTAAGATGATTGTGGCTCAAATAAGATGATGTGCTAAAATATAAAACTGTTTACTCTAGTTGGAAAGCATGTCATTGAATTCTATGGACAAAAAGTACAAAAACACAGTAAATCAAAAACCTTGAACTCATAGAAAAAAAAGTTTTGTTTACTCATTAGATGAGAACTGTGAAAACAAAACAAAAAACATTTAAAAAAACTTAGATTAACTAATCCTATAAATTTCCAGATATTGATTTTAAATGAATCCGAAACGTATCAATATAAAATAGGTCAATTTTAGGAAAATATATACAGGAAAAGTCATATACAAATAATTCAATTATGTGTACCTACACTAAATTGTGTCATGCTTTTTTATGTTAGTATAGATAACTCTTTATATAATATATTTAACTTTTTATTTTGTTTCATGGTATTTCAATTTAGTTAATTATCAATGGATAAGAGTTGGATGAAGAAAAGTAGATTGTCAAGAGATTATATGCAAGGGATTAAAGAATTTTTAGAGTTTGCTTCTCACAATGCATCTAATGATGGAACAATTCCATGTCCATGTATGAGATGTGTGAATTCATACATGTTGACCCTAGAAGTTGTACATGATCACTTGGTATCCTATGGAATTAGTCCGGGTTATAATTGTTGGTATCTTCACGGGGAAATTATGTCTGCAACGACTTCTAGTAGAACTAGTCAAAGCCATGTTGAAGAAATAGGACCCGAGTATGGTGATATACGTGACATGTTGCGGGATGTGTTTCCCATGCACACCCAAAATATGGATGAATATGCAGAAGAAAGTAATTTACCAGAACCATCTGATCAAGGTCCAAGCGTGCAACGACCTCAGGAAGATCCTAATGAAGATGCACAAAAATTTTACGACTTACTGAAAGATGCTGAGAAGCCTTTGTATGAAGGGTGCAAGAATTTTAGCAAGTTGTCAGCAATTGTGCATCTGTATCACTTGAAATGTCTTAATGGATGGAGCAACCACTCATTCACAATGTTGCTTCAAATTTTGAGAGATATGCTTCCTTCAGATGCAAATTTGCCGAAAGCCTCTTATGATGCCAAGAAGATTATTAAGGATTTGGGTCTCGGTTATGAAAAGATTCATGCTTGTCCTAATGATTGTATGTTATTTTGGAAGGAACATGCAAATGATGAAGTGTGTCATTGTGGTGCTTCAAGGTGGGCAACAAATGAGAATGATTTGCAGCATAATATGAGTACTTCATCTAAAAAGAGAAAGAAAAAGGCTGCAAAGGTTTTACGGTGGTTTCCCTTGAAACCTCGATTGCAGAGGTTGTTCATGTCTTCAAAAACAGCTACTTCTATGAAATGGCATGCTGAAGGCCGTACAAATGATGGCATAATGAGGCATCCTGTCGATTCTATGGCTTGGAAAACATTCGACTCTCGCTATGTAGATTTTTCCTTTGACTCTCGCAATGTCAGGTTGGGGTTGGCAGCAGATGGATTTAACCCTTATGGGAATATGAGTACTAGTTATAGTATATGGCCGGTCATATTGGTCCCATATAATTTGCCTCCATGGATGTGCATGAAAAGGTCATCTTTCATCCTATCATTGCTTATTCCTTGTCCGAGCTCCCCTTCGAATGACATAGATGTGTACATGCAGCCTTTAGTTGAAGAATTGAAGGAATTATGGGATGTTGGAGTACAAACTTATGATATATCTTCCAAAGAGAACTTCCAAATGCATGCAGCTCTGATGTGGACTATAAATGACTTTCCCGCATATGGTGATTTGTCTGGTTGGAATACCAAGGGTGCTCTTGCATGTCCTTCTTGTAATTATGAGACTCATTCTCGATGGTTAAAACATGGAGGAAAATATTGTTTTATGGGTCATAGACATTTCTTGGATAAAGATCATAGATTTCGTAAAGATAGATCATCATTTGATGGCAAACAAGAAATAGAACCAGCTCCCGATATGCTATCTGGCTTTGAGATCATGATGCAAACAGAAGACCTTGATTACAAATTTGGGAAGACAAAGGCAAATGAAAAAAACAAAAAAAGAAAGAAACAAGCGGATGGTGATGAGATACAACCATGGAAGAAAAGAAGTATATTTTTTACATTGTCGTATTGGGCAAATCAAAAATTGCGTCACAATCTTGATGTGATGCATATAGAGAAAAATGTGATTGATAATGTATATGGAACATTGTTGAATTTAGATGGGAAGACAAAGGATAACTTGAAGGCACGTCTTGACTTACAGGAGATGGGTATAAGACGTGAACTTCACCCACAAAAGATCAGTTCCAATAAGACATATTTGCCTCCAGCTTGCTTCTCAATGATTTTAAAAGAGAAAGATGACTTCTTGAATGTTTTGAAAGGGGTAAAAGTCCCAGATGGTTATGCTTCAAATATGTCACGTTGTATCCAACTTCGACAGCGTAAGATTATAGGTTTGAAAAGTCATGATGGTCATATTTTGATGCAACAACTTCTTCCTATCGCATTACGAGGAGCACTACCAAAACAAGTCGCTTCACCTCTAATTGAGTTATCTTGTTTCTTTAGGGAATTATGTTCCAAAGTCTTGCAAGTGGAAGAGCTTGACCGGCTTGCATCTCGAATTGTATTGACTTTATGCAATTTGGAGAGAATCTTCCCTCCCTCCTTTTTTACTGTTATGGTGCATTTAGTTGTCCATTTGGCCACTGAGGCTAAAATTGCTGGCCCAGTTCACTATAGATGGATGTATCCCATTGAGAGGTTAGGCGTGACGACTTGTATCTATTTGTGTTTTTAACCTACATCACATTGACATCTCAATTTAGTCGATCTATAATTATATTGTTTTTCATGTAGGTATCTCCAACGACTAAAATCTTATGTTCGTAACAAAGCCCATCCAGAGGGCTCTATTGCAGAAGGATACATAGCTGAAGAGTGCTTAATATTTTGTTCGCGATATTTGGAATCTGTTGAAACCATATTCAATCGACCCTTAAGAAATGTTGAAGATTCTACAGGGCCAATAATGAATATCGAACTTGATCAAAAGTCATGGATACAAGCACATCGTTATGTGCTATTTAACAATGATCAAATTCAACCATATCGAATGTAAGCAATATTTATGAGTTATGGTGTATAAATAAGTTTGATTTTTCCATTTTAATACTTGCAATAGTAACACAAGTTAGGTTTGTATATATAGAGAACACAAGGAGCATATAAAGAGACAAAGTCGTTCGCGTCGTCTAACTGATGAAGTTCTTAATAAGATGCATATGGAAAAGTTTTGTGAGTGGTTTAGATCATATGTAAGTATGTAGCTATTAAATAATACTATTACCATATACAATTTGTAGCGTAGAGATTAATGTAATCATTTTAATGGATCCTATAATATATCAGGTTGTAGCTATGGATGACACAAGAAAACAACAACTTACTGGTGAAATCAAGTGGTTTGCTCAAGGCCCAAACACTCTAGCTAGACGATTCAAACGATATGTTGTTAATGGTTTTAAGTTCCGAATTAAAAATTACGAGGCGGCGAAGAAAACTCAGAATAGTGGGGTTTGTGTGGCCACCGAAGGAGGCACCATGTATTATGGTGTTTTATTTGATATCATTGAGCTCAATTATTTTTACAAGTTGAAATATGTATTATTCAAATGCAATTGGGCTGATGTGAACACAGGCAGAGGCTACAAGATAGATGAATATGGGTTTAACCTTATAAATTTTTCGCATTTGATACATACTGGAGAACGGTCAAATGATGAACCATTTGTCTTGTCATCTCAAGCTTCACAAGTTTATTATGTGGGAGATGTAAGGCATGAAAATTGGTTGGTTGTTGTTAAAACAAAAGCGAGAGATGTGTTTGATGTTGGTACTAGTGAATTGTGTGATGGTGATGTTGACACTTACTATGATAACGAGCCGTACAATATGATAGTTGAAGACACTCATGTGGATGCGAATGAAAACCTCAATTGGGCTAGAAATGATACAGATGGAACGACAATCAATATACCACTTCCACTTGATCACCAACTGATCGATGAAGATGATTTAGATGAGGATGGCTAGTTGTTGAGTTCAACTAGTTTGATTTTAATTTTTTTATTCTCATGTTAATCTTTGAAACATTATTGGTTTTGAATATAAATTTCAATTTTTTTAGTTTCATATATGTATGGCAACCAATGTTTTGCTCTTTTTTTTTTAAATCACATACCCCTTGTGGATGTAGGCGTAAGCCAAACCAGGTAAATTATTTGTTTTCTTCTTTTTGATTGTGTTTGCATCAATTTGCTACTTTGTATCCGATCTCAAATTTGTGTGGGTTTGTCAGGACACTTGTCTAGTTTCCATTGAAGTATATTGTATGGGTTATTAATGAGGACATCTATATTTCTTCTAATAGATAACTGATGGTTTTTTATATTATTTTAATGTTTGTTGTTAAATATAGCTATTAAAAACTTGGACTGGAAAATTAACATCTTGACAATATTGTTTTTATGCTCTCTCAGGTTTTAACTTTTAGTTTGTGAATGTAGGGAATTATCTTGAGAAGAAAGAAGTCCGCACCCATCTAACAGAGGTGAGTATAGTCATGTATGTCCGCACCTGTCTGAATGTAGTAGTATTATTGTGTCATGTTATGTTATTGTATTAGGAAGGGGAGCTAAGTCTAGCCATGTTTTGCTAATTTCACTGGAATGTAGCCAATTGGCTGTGGGTGATCTGATGTGTTTTGTGATTTATGGTGTGTAATCTATCTGCTGATGGTTGTGCATGATCTGTTATGGAGGTTGCTCTTTTTTTTATGCTGCTTTTGTCAATGCTGGTGTGATTGGTGGCTGATTTTGTTGCTGTTGTTTGCTGGGGCAGTGATCTGTGGAGCTTTAGGATGTACAATTGAATCAAATTATTAAGCTTTTATTTTGTTAAGAGTGGTAATATATCACAATTCAATCATTATTTGTGAACAGTATTGTGGTAATATAAAATAATTACTTGGAAAGGCCTCAAGTACATTTAGTGCCATGTCATGCTTTCAGATTTAGGTTCACAGTGTTTATTTAATAATGGTAATGGCAAAATATTCTGGATAGATTTCCACTCTATATAATGGATGTTTCACGATTCAATTATTATCTGTATATATATTATTTATTTATTTTGCATAGGGCTTTGATGACACACTATTAACCACTTTCCTTTTATCAAAAGTTTGCAATATGTCATTGGCATGTGTCATTTTCTGTTAATCTGCCAATGTGTTATTTATTCTTTCTAATGAATTGGTGGATGTGCTGACAATTAGTAGCATTGGAATACTATCCTCTCCGCTTTTATCAGCACGAGCTACCTATAAAGTTCCAAATTACTGTTAACGACTCAAATGTGATATTATTCTGAACCAGTTAATCATGCTCTAGCACAGTGCAGAAAATATTGAGAGGATTACTTACCACAATCATCACACTTTCATGGAACAACTTCTTAGAAACGAACACCCAAAATATGTCATAGAAGAAGGCACAACCGAGAAGAACAGTACCCACCTGATTTGCAAAATACACAGAACCATGTCAAAGAAAACATTAAGTGAGAAGCGCTTTTGGTTTTGAAAACTGTTCAAACCACAGTGCACTGCTGGCACAATTTTTATTTCAGCAATGAAACTTGGTTTTAACATTTAACTACTAAACTGTATGATAAATGCTCATTTAATTTGATTAATATCTTTGTGTTTGATTAATTACGTCTATTGTTTATCTAGCAGATATGGCAAAGAAACGATTTAGAACTTGCAATCTTGAGATTGAGTCCCAGAACAAGCGATCAAATGGCTCTTCACAGCCTAGCCAGTCAAATAACTCTTCACAGCCTAGCCAGCCAAATAACCCTTCACAGCTGAACGCACCAAGTGGAACTTCACAACCTAGTCACTCAATTGGCTCTCCACAGCTGGACAGGCCAAATAGAACTTCACAACCTAGTCGTTCAAATGCCTCTTCACAGCTTAATCGGCCAAATGGAACTTCACAGCCTAGTCGATCAAATGCCTCTTCACAACCTAGTTGGTCACATCCCTCCTCACATGCTCCATCACATGTTCCACACGCTCAACCTCAAGAATCAGAGGTTAACCCTCAGTTTGAAGATGATTTAGATGAGGACTGGTTAAGGGAAGAAGAAATGCAACGTACAGGTATTATTAGATTTTTAGTTGAGGTACAACTTACAAGTCAACCTTCACTTCCATGATATATTTCGTTGTTGTATTGCAATAGATGCATTGACCAAGCGAAACACGCGGGGAATTACACGTATGGTTGAAGTGTGGAATTTGACACCAGAAGAACGCATTATGCTCACCTTCAACAAGGATTTGCAGGCTATTTCTACAGAGGGTGGTATGTTCAGTCGCTTCATAGGCACCATTGCTAGGAAGCCACATTTATGCCCAATTAAGTACAAGAATTGGCATGAAGTGCCAGATCAGTATAAAGAAGATTGTTGGAATATTATTGAGGTAATTTTCTAACTACAAGTATTTTGTGATAATTCTACTATAAGAGAGATCATATGCATGTGAAAAAGACAATCTTCCATGCTATTATAGTTGAAGTAAAAATAAAAATATGAGAATTAGGCAAAGAAATGCACAAATTTAGTTTATATCATTGTATTGATAATTTTAAGAATGTTCATAACATGAAAAAACATACAATTGTAGTCCAAGTTTGCCATTCCTTAAGATGAGAGAAGGGATATGATTAGGCATCGAACATTGAAGTCAATGGGAGAGAAATGGAGAAATTGGAAATGTAGTTTAAAAGCAAAGTACTATGATGAGACAAAGACAGCAGCACAGATAGTAGCTACTGCGCCTTCAACAGTTAACCGTGAGCACTATGCTGACCTTGTCGCGTATTGGTTTTCAAAGGAAGGACATGTATGCATAGATGTATGTTTCATATCAACTAATACAATGTCATTATATCATTTTTTTTAAACATATTGTTATGCATTTATGACTGAAGGAACTTAGTACAACCAATAAGGAAAGCCGGCGAGAGCAAACAAGTGCACATACAGTAGGATCTAAAACTTATGCACCACATGCATATGATATGGTATTTCAAACTTCATTCCTTTTTTTATATTTTGAATTTGGTTAGCACATTGTATTATGAATTTATTCTGAAATGATATGATTGTTACATAGGAGCAAAAAGATAAGATTGCACTAGATCGAGCAAAATTATATATACCGCTTCACAAAAGGAAGGATGGGACACCAGTCAATGAAGCAGCAGCTGCAAAAATTGTATGCCCATTTAATAAGTTACATTTTCAAAATTTTAATGTGTTTGTGGCAAACAATCACTCTCGCTGTGATGGGTAAAGAGCATCATGGTCGTGTTCGAGGTTTAGGATTTGGGCCTACTCCTTCCAAGCATGGCTTCATGTGTAATAGTTTTGACCACATAAGAATGGTTTCTGATGAAGACAGAATAAGAGACAAAGACACTATAATTGAGTTGAAGGAACAACTAAAAACTCAAGGTGATCAGTTGCAAACTCAAGGTATTCAGTTGCAAGCTCAAGATGCTGTAATAAACTCTTTAAAAGAGCAAGTAGCATTTTTGATGAGTCAGAGACATAGTTCTAGTGGTTTGCAGGTATAACTACATATAACATATTCTTTTATATGATGTATTTATCATATGTTATCCTTTTCTAAATTTATGCATACTTATGTAAATTGTATTGTATAAATTAGGCGACAGATGGATCTAGTGGCATTCCGGACCAAGCTTCTCTACAAACACATCAAAGATCCTCTTTTGGGAGTCATGAAATGCAACCTTCTAATCGGGGTAAGTCATCATTACAATACACATACATTGACACAAATTTAGAACCACTGTTAATGACTTCTTTACCATTAAATTGTTAGTTAGTTTAGACAAAATTGGGATTTGATAGGTTGACTTCTCTACTTTGCTTCCCTTATTGGCATCCGTAAAAATACCAAACAAACCAGTGAATAGAGAATTGGGCAACCGAACAAAATTTTGCTAATATTGGCAAGTTGACTTCACATTCACCTCAAACTGACAGGAAGTCAGTCTTGTATAACTGACAAGAGTGATTATTAACAATAAACCAACATTTATGTTGTTAAAGAATTTATACTCAGATGTTTTTAAATTTCAGGTAGGTGGATGATTTGAAACACAAACAAGAATAAGATCTATCTCATACTTGGAACCATTCGACGTCTAAAACCACAAACCTCTAAGAGCCAACTATTTTATTTTAATTCTTGTATCAATAACATATTTTATGTTGCTACTTGCTACATTACTAACATTGAATGCAAGCAGAATGTCTTCATTCAGAAATTTTCACGAAAAACTGGCAACTATGCTGAAATTTTTATTTTTGTTTTTGCTTTTTTAAGAACCATTTTGCTGAAACTAATTCCATTGCTAGTACATTGCATATTATTTTTAGAGATTGAGTTTTTAGAGTTACAAATAAGTTTCTAAATACCGAATTGAACTTGCCTCAATTATTTGCCTAAAAACAATCACAGAGGCAACATACTCCGAGAACATGAGTTGAACCAATTCAATTTTTTTTTGTTTTTTTTTCGACAAAAAGAAAAAACAAATACCTTTACACACACACATATAGAAAAAGAGAATTGGCAACAAGTTCCACACCCACCACCTTCAAAAGGATGTTCATGTCTTGAATTATACTCCCTCTCCATTTTAGTAGAAAGAAGGCACAAGTGACAGACTAAGAAGAATAGTATTTTACTGCTGAAAGCTTACTGCTGAATTCTCTAGTTTGGTAATATATTTATGTTTTACTTCTTAGTTTCGGAAAATTAAAGTAAGAGCAATTGCTTGCTGTTATATATATCTGATCAACCATCAATTATTATGGACCAGGATCCTTTGTTTACTCAACTAAAACTAAATAGATAAATTCTAGAACATGGAATACTCTGTCCTTCAATCCTCTGTACATCCACTGTCCAATATACTTTTAATTATTACATCATGCCTCATTCTTAAATCCAGTGGCTCGGTTGATTGGCACTCCTATAGGCTCATCTAGCAATACAAATTCTGGGGGTTCCAAGTCTTCCATCCACCAAAAACATTTCTTCTATTAAGTGTGGAACTTCAAATTTTAAGGACTTTCCTTTTACCTTGCACAACCTAGATTGAGGTACAGAATCAACCAAAGTGAACAAAATAAACTTGTAAGGAACATGCAAAGAAACATATGTTCTACCTGCCCTACGAATACCCTTCTGTTACTTAACCGTTAGGACAACTAACTAATTTTGCTAATGTCAATGATTTTATTTATTAAAATAATTATTTAACCTCAACACTCTTGTCTTTGCACCAATTCTTAATGTTACACCATAACCATAGAACTTTACAACTCTTAGGATTTACAGTTCGTTTGGATCATATAATTTTCTTTATAGATTTTAAAATTGAAAATGATACTTATGCTCATTCAATTTTTTTTATTGCAGGAAATAAGACAATATGAAAGTATCAAACAATGGACGTCATTTCTCGATTTGAACATTTTTCATGAGGTCTTTATAAAATGGCGTCATGAGTAATACTTTTGAGTACTATTGTTATGTGACAAGTTTATCTTTCGGATTATGGTGTGGGCTATTAGTTTGCTAGAAACATTGGATCTTTTTTGTATTACAAGTTTATGTAATGAACCATTTAATTAAGTTGTTTTGGATATTTTGGGATTATGAAAATGCAGACTCTTTTACCTTTTACAATTATTGAGTATTGAGCCATTAGAATAAAATAGTGTTGTTATAGATATATAATGTGAGCAGGTTGTTGGCTTTTTTGTTGGCTGCTGTTGTTTTCTTTGATGCCTGGTGTCATTGCTACTGGTGCATGGTGCTATGGCTGGTGTTTACTATCAACAATTTGCCCACAGTTTGCTATTGTCTGTTGTCTTAGGGGTTATGGTGTCTGTTTTGATCATTTTTTAATCAAATTATCTCTGTAATATGGCCTTTTGAGTTTTGTTTGTAGTTTCTTTTGTTGTTTGGATCTTTTCAGTGTAACCAGGTTATGTTGCTCTTAGGTTTTTTGTTGTCTTGTTTGCCTTGTTCTTGCTCTCATTTGCTCTTTGCTTATGTGGTGTGTGAACATGATGGTTTTCGCTGTCTACATTGTCTTTTTTTGTGTTTTCGTTTAAGTTGGATGATCAAGTCATAATATTCCACATACAACTACATAGGGAATTATCGTCAAAGACAATTCACAAAGTTCAACAGTATTTTTCCTTCGTATAAACCTAAACATTAGACTAACCATAATACAATTCTCTAACAAGAAAGCCCAATTGAAGGGGTTTCCCCCCCCCCCCCCCCCCCCCAAAAAAAAAAAAAACATAGCCTACAACCGCGGTTAATAAGCGTCGCTGTAAATAAAATTCAAAATGAATTCTCTGGCTATAGCGACACTATAAAACTGATGGAATAGTGTCAAAATCTAGCAGCGGTTCACAAAATGTCGCAAAAGTGAAGGATATAGTGGCAGTCGACCCGTCGCTATAAAGTTAGCAAGTAATTGGTAAATTCAAGATATAGCGACATTTATAACTGTCACTACATCAACCGTCGCAATAAAGATAACTATACCAGCGTTTGCGGAAAACGTCACTATAAGGATTTGCTGACGGGGCTATTGCGGCGGTTTGGCTGCCACTATTGCAACCGCTGGTAAAGGTGTTCTACTTTTTAGCGACGCTTTTTCCTGCTTTTAGTGACAGTTTTGGCCGCTACTAAATCTTGATTTTTTTGTAGTGATACACTGAAAATGAACACAAAGTGTGATAGATGCACAATGTGAGCAGAGTATGATGGATATACTAAAAAGGAACATAAAGTGTGATAGATGCACTTAGTGAACAGAGTGTGATTGATACACTAAAAGCGAACACAAAGTGTGATAGATGCACTATGTGAAACAGAGTGTGATTGATACACTAAATGAATGAAGAAAGTGTGATAGACGCACAGTGTGAACGAAGTATGATTGATATACTGAAAATGAACACAAAGTGTGACAG